TTCTGCATAGAGCGACTGTGCAACAGCACTGACCTGACCGATTGTAGATGCAGGCGAAATTTTGTGAAAAGGTTTACTTTTCTCTTAGTCAAATTATTGGACAAGTTACCAACTGCACTCTAATTGGGGGCTGTTCCTCTGTGTATCTCTTCCTGGATGATGTCATTAGATCCTGGAGATGATGGAGCCGAGATTCTTAATTTGGTCAATCTTCTAAAGCGTTTCGCTTCCCTTTTCATCTTCTAGATCAGCTTAGCTGTATGGGTTTCTCATAATGACGGTTTGATTTCCAGACGTTTATGAATAGGCCGTCTTTCCTACCTGTGTTGCACATGGAAGCCATCAGATGACGGAGCCGCTTTCCGTTATACTCTGTAACATAATATCATCTACATCAAGTCAGCAAAATACCTCGCAGGATATCTTGAATTATGTCTTTCCCTCTAGAATGAGACCTTGATCTTTTTCAGGGTCAGTCTGTTTTGAAGAAGAAGGTTGCGAAGAATGCTGAATGGAACAGACGAAACCACATTTCCTTGGTGAACAATACAGTTATTAGGGAACCGTTCACATCGCTCTCTGACTTTTGACAGCATACCTGGTTCATGTACACATCGCTTATAGAATATAAACAATAATCTCCAATTTTGGACGACATTTTGATTCAAATAAGGTCTCAGAGTTGAGGAAACTAACAAACTTAGCGTGCAACGTAACTTCCAAGATTTTTCTTTCACGCTGATCTTGCTGAGAACGGTTCAGCTCGTTTTATATACTCCCATTTTTTTGCTCAGTTACTATAGTGCCTGACTCACAATTGAGATGCTCTACGTTCGACCCTCGGTCAGTCATTCACTTTTCATCCTTCTGAAGTAAATAGAATACATGAGTCCTGTTTGAAGAGAACAGAACATAAGAGTACACGCTGTAGCGGTCACTTGTTCAGGGTATAACCTTAAACACAGCATGGTATTCTGGATTGATTGTCAGAAGCAGATGTCAATACCCCACCAGAAGCTCCTTGAGATGAAGGGGCGCCACAAGCGATGTCCAGTTATAAGACAGTATTTGATACTCATATTCCTATGGTTAGAGGCTAGTTTTTTTATTATCTCTCAGGCTTTGAGCTTTGTACCAGTACCCTCTGAAAGTGACCAGCGCGAGCCTTGGGTTTGATTCGGTTCAGTTTCATTGCGACCGTTCGTCGAAAGCCTGAAATATTGTTTGCGAACACGTCGTCGACTGTACTGGCGTGCCAAGATTGTTCATCGACATCAATTATTAATTGGCACAGGATTTTCGAAGATATTCGAGCTAACGAAGTCAATCACGTAGTCGGTAGATTCATCTGCTCGCCGCCCTCTGCCTAGTTTGCATCCTCCACTCCTCCATCACGACAACCATAGC